ACACACACACACACACTGGGCTGGAGGCCAGGAGAGGATTATAGTCTAGGTGTACACACACACACACACACACACACAACACTGGGCTGGAGGCCAGGAGAGGATTATAGTCTAGGTGCATATCAAACAGCTTGCTTTTCCTTCCTAGATTTCAGTTTCTCACTTCTGAAATGATCTCAACTTCCAGTCTTTTAACATTTTCACTTTTGTAAAATAGTTCAGGGCATTACTGTAGTAGTAATATTCTGGAGTGAAGCTTTCTTAGCACCCGTGTGAAACTGCCTGTGTGTACCACGCCACTTAGATCTCTTACAATCGAGCACTCATCTGAGAGCACCCTGCACAAAGTCACAGAAATACAAGCAAAGATTCCCACAAAACAGTTTCCTAAAATTAAAGGAGGTTAAGACAAATGAACATCTACCAAACACAGAAGGGATTTAGACTCCAAACAAAGTATTTTCATGATGCCATGTCTACGCCTCTTTCCTCAGCCCCATCCCAACAGCCTCTAGATCAGGAAAGAGTACAAAGTGGTCTATCTGAAGAATGAAAACTGTCTACAGGCATATCACCCTGAATTTAATATCCCCCAATTTCATCTGAAGAATGAACATGGTCTTTCTCCATTTGATTTTCTGCATTGTTTAAAGCAAATCTAGAAAAGAAGCACGTTGCCTATTTGCGATTGTTGTGCCTGTGGACTGATCTTGAGTTTCGATGCCATTCTGGTTAAAGAACTGCCATGCAGTAAGAATGGGCAGGATTTTACACTTACTTACCATCAAGGTTCTGAAACTGGGACAGGAAATCCTTTACTTTCTGTGTTGTGCTGCCAAGCTGCTTTTCAGTAGAGGAATTCAACACCTCAAAACAGTTCTGAAGTATGCTCATCAGTTCATCCTTGGCCAGCATTCTAGAAAAGAAGCAGTGAAAGATTGAATATAACAAGAAAATTAGCATACCTAAAACGTTTTCTACAGATGAAATGTTTTGTTCAGAAGATGAAATAAAATCTTCATTAGTAGTGACTACTTCCTTTTGTTAAAGATTTTATCTGTAAATGGGAATAACACTTCATTGTGTTATGTGGCAACCTCTAAACTGAAGCATTCCCTTCTGGATGGAGGCTTCTGTACTGACTCAGGAAATAAATGAATGATAAAAGTCATTGCTTGCCAATAAATGGATGATTTCAGTCCAGTTTTGGAAATAATTTGAGATCAATGCCTAAATCTATCCAGCTTCTCCATGAACAAAAATAATTCTTCCTTTACTGTTTTTTTCCCCTAAAATTTTTTTTGATCCCTTCTATTTTCTAGAACAGTTAATATGGCTCCCTGTCATCTGAATACGCTACTCTTGTGACTACCTATGTTCTTTTACTATTGCTGTAACAAAATACCCAAAACAAGGCACTTTTTTCCTTTTTTTTTTTTTAAGGGAAGGAGGTTTATTTATTTAGCTCATAGTTTCGGTGGATAAAAGCCCAAAATTGGAGGATAGTCCCACTGCTTAGGCATCTGATGATGAAGGCATCCTTGGATGTGGCATCTGAAACAAGAGTACTGGAAGGGAGAGATCACATGGCCAAGAGAGGAAGCAAGAAAATGGGGAGGACCAGTCATACTGGGTAACAACTCATCTTGACAACTTACCCCATGAGATCAACAGTAATTCTGCAAACAGCACTCTACCAATTTAATTACCTGGCACATCTTAATTAACCTGCATCTTAACAGTGTGATCAGAGCTTAATAATTCCACAGTGAAGACGAAGCTTCCAACGTAAGAGTCTCAAAAGGCTGAACTAAATCCAAGACAGTTTTACAGCATTTGTATGCTCAAGAGTATTATGCACAATATTTGAGGAGACGACAGAAATCTATGGTTAATACACCTCAGATGATTATTATGCACATTGGAGCTTGAAACCACTAAAGAAAGTAACTCTCAAATCTTTTCAGCCTTTTGTCTGATTTTATGCTGAGTCTACAAATAGCTGTAGTATGCAAACTCAAGACCAGCAATCTCTATACTAAAAAAATGAAATGATATTTTGGTGCCTATAGTCTCAGATAGCTCCTACATTGATAAGATAAACTGAATATACTGTAGGTTAGTTTACTCTTCAGGAAGCGTTTCATTATCATTTAAAGTTGAAATGTAGAGTTAAGAAACTAAGTTGAGGTGATTAAAAATATAATCAGGGTTTTTTTTTAATTCAATGAAAGTTAAGCTTATGTGCTAAAATGTTGTTATTTGTACCGGCTAGTTTTTATATCAACCTAAACAAGCTGAGAGGAAGAAACCACAATTAAGAAAATGCTTCCATGAGATCTGATGGTAGGCCAGCCTGTAGAATACTTTAATTAGTGGATGATGGGGAGGGCCCAGCCCACCTTAGGTGGTACCACCCTGGGCTGGTGGTCTTTGGTTCTACAAGAAAGTAGGTTGAGCAAGTCATGAGGAGCAAGCCACGAAGCAGCATTCCTTCTTGGCCAGTGCATCAGCTTCTGCCTCCAGGTTCCTGCTCTGTTCAAATTCTTGCCTGGTCTTTCCTCAATGGACTGTGACTTGGAATATGTAAACCAAACTCTTCCCTCCCCAAGTTACTTATACTAATGGTGTTTCATCTCAGCAATAGTAACCTTAACTAAGAAGCTATTAAAGTTGAAATCTTTAATCAGAGCCATTGAAATGTCTCAGCAGTTAAGGTATTCGCTGCCCAGGTTATGGCCTGAGTTTTATCCCTGGAACTTACACAGTGGAAAGAAAAAACAGAATCCCCCAAGTTGTCCTCTGACCTACAAATGCATGCTCCAGATCCCCAACAAGGTACTCATTCTCTGAATTAATAAAAAAAGCACCCAATTTAGACACTAGAATTACAATCCAATTACAATCCAGGAGTTCTCAGTCAGCTACAGTGTATAAGTCTGTTTCTACAGTAAGATCCTAAGCATGCATTTGGGACTCAATACTATCTTTTCTTCTTCAGTATGTACCAGGCAATAAGATGGTCAGTCAGGTTAAGGTGTTGGAATCCACAGAAGCTCTTACTCCTGGCTCATTGTGAAACTGTTTATAAGCTCTGAACATAGAAGATACACCTAAACATGATACATTTCTTTTCACTGTACTCTATCTGGAACGCAGAAAAAAAAAAAGTGCTGGATTTTGAAGATTTACATTTAAGGTCTTGTTCTGTAAACTAGGGGGAAAAATTAATGTTTTCCAGACTTTACTCAAACAACAAAAAACAAAATGGTGAACTCAAAAGTGTCTCTGACGTTTTGTATATACTTAATGTATCAACAGGAGGAAAGACATTTATTCCAAGGTTGCAGGCTTCTAAATCACTTTCCTTTGGTGGTGGCCATACTTTTACCTGTCTTTGTTATAACTGCTGTATATGATTCTCAGGGCTTTTAAGTTCAACTGAATAAAAAGATAGAAACTATACTTGGTATTTATCGTTTTTTTTTTTTTTTTTTTTTAATATCCCCAAAGTTGCACTTTAGATCCTGGCAAATAAAAGCTGAAAGGACAGACACCTCTTAAGTCAGATCTGAACTATGAGCCTTATTAGCAGTAAAGTGATCTCATGCAAGTTACTTAATCCCTATCTATGCTTCAGATTCCTAAGGGAAAGCACAGCTAATTGGCACACTAGAAAGGTATACTACACTGACGGTAAAATGTACTCAAGGTGCCTAAGGCAGTACCTGGTACACAGCAAGCCTTCAATAAATGGTGGTTACTCTTGTTACCATTACTTTTGTAATCTAGATACTTTCTGCTACTAGACTGACATTTATGATCCCTGCCTGGATTGTGAGTTTAGCAGACCCAGGATACTTAAAAGAAATGAGTAAGTTCCTCCCTGAATAATGAGCTTATGACTTTGGGAATACCTTACAAGAGAAGGAAGACAGATAGTAGTCATAAAATTATAACACAAAGAATCAATTAGCCAGGGTGCTGGAGAGATGGTTCAGAGAGTAAAGGGGCTTGCCACCTGAAGTACAAGCTGACTTCAGTGCCTCCCCTGGACTCCAGGAAAAAGCAGGAGAACTAAATCCACAAATCAGCTTTCACATATGAATACACATACGCACACATGACGAGAGAGAATCAACTGACCATTTAAGACAAGATTACTGGGACAGAAAGCAAAGTTCCAGAAATATTCTATTTTCAAGTTTATAAATACACAGAAACAGTTTACTGAAATAAAAAGTATTGCTGGGCATAGTGTCACACACCTTTTTAATCCCAGCACTTCTGAGATACAGACAGGTTGGTCATAGTGGTTCATGGCTAGCCTGGTCTATTTAGCAAGTTCTAGGCCAGCTAAGGCTACAAAGTAAGAGCCTGTCTCAAAAACAAACAAAGACAACAACACTTTTCTGTGGAAATAAAATTTCTTTAGGGATTTACTTTTCCAGACAGCAAGAAACTCCAGTTTCATAGCTACATGGTACCCGTCTATCCCTAACAAATGTATTACTGTTTTGAACTTTGTCGTGGTTTGAATGAGACTATCCCTCATAAGTTCATTTATTTGAACATTTGGTTATCAGTTGGTGGTGCCATTTGAGGAAGTCCAGGAAGTTCAACCTTGTTAGAGAAAATGCAGCCCTGGAAGCCAACTGAGGGTTCAGAGCCTACTACCGTTCTGAGTGCTCTCCTGTACTGTGGTTCAAGAAGAATGCTGCCATGCTGCCCTGCTGCCACCACCAATTCAACCTCTGGAACCATAGCCCAAATCAACTCTCTTCTATAAGTTGGTCATGGTGCTTTATCACAGTAACAAAAAGTTACTAACTTCCTCCTGTGCCCATCTGTTCTCTTCTTCAGGCTTGCAGAGAATGAGGACTAAAAATAAATCTAGTCAACAGACTTCTTTATAATATGTTCAGGTTACTAGGTGTGGCATGTACACTGGCACAGGCATAAGTAATCTGAGTTCAAGGCTGACTTGAGCTACAAGTGAGTCACTGTCTCAAAATACAACACAACAGCAAAAATACTATGTTCACTTAAGCATTTGTACCTACTGCGGAAATTTTAGGCCTTGTACGGAAACCCGCCTCACATTTTTGTTCCCTTTTTCACTATTCAAATGGTCATTATTCTTATGTATGTGTGGTGCATGTATGTGCTAGCTTGAAAGGCAATGGCCCCTAAAGGATAATATATTTGAATGCTTCGTCATCAGGGAGTGGAACGCTTTGAAAGGATTACAACAATCAGGAGGTGTGGCCTTGTTGGAGAAGGTATGTCACTGGGGGTGGGTTTTGAGGTTTGAGAACACCTTTCCAGGCCTAGGTTCTCTCTCTCTCTGTCTAGGGATCAGGATGTCACTCTCAACTATTGCTAGAGCACCTGCTTGGATGATGTCATGCTCTCTGCCATGATGATACTGTACTAAACCTCTAAAACTGTAAGCAAGCCCCCAATTAAATTCTTTCATAAGAGCTGCCATGGTCATGGTTTCTCTTCAGAGCAATAGAACAATGAATAATATGATGCACATGAGTGTATGGGTATGTACACCCACGTGTGTGCATACAAGGTAACATCAGGTATCTTCTACTTTTTGCTTTCCAACTTTTTAAAAAAATTACATTATTTCTGTAGATGTGCATGGTACAACACCTGTGTAAAGCCCAGACAACAACTTATGAGCATTAGTTCACTCCTTCCACTATGTGGGTACTGGTGACTGGCTGAGGCTATAATCCTTTGTGAAGCCAACTCACCAGACCCCCACCTTATTTTTGGAAAAATGGTCTCACACTGAACCAGAAACCTGAGGATTTTGATGTGGGATGTCTTTCTGTATACTGTGAATATGTATTGGTCCCAATGGTTAATAAATAAAGCTGCTTTGGCCCATGGCAAGGCAGGGTAAGAGCCAGGCAGGAAACCCAAGCAGAGATAAAGGGAAAAGGGCAGGGTTGAGAGAGGCACCATCGAGCCACCCAAGGAGAAGATGCCAGCACACCAGTAATTCCACGGTCACAGCCACATGGCAAAATATAGATTAATAAAGCCTCCAGCTTCATATGGTGCCCAACGTTCGGCGTGGATCCACACAAGACCCGAGAAAGCTTTAAAAAGGTTCTGAATGCACAGAGAGAGGGCTGCACTAGGCTTCCTGGTCTCACAGTCTCGTGTCAGCAGCAGTGCAGAGAGGAGTCTCCTGACAGCTGCCCACTAGATGGAGCAGGCTCCCAGCTGCCATGGGCTAAGTGGTGTGGCGGGTTCTGCACCCTCTTACAGGGGCCAAGGTGAAGAGGCTTAGCCTAGCTGCTGTCTATAGGCTTGAGAACACAGCTGCATGCTACTTGGTGGCAGCATGGATCCCACAGCTTCCCAGAGTTGGGGAGCTAGTAAGTGTGACTCTCGTTGGTACCTCTACCATGTTGGGAAGCAGGGAGGAGCCAACTGCCAAAGCCACTGCTTGTCCTAGCCACACCTGCTTAGCAGTTTAAAGCAATGATCAGAAAAGGATTACAGATACACAATAAAGACAGACTCAGACAAAAAGAAACCTCTAAACAGATCACAGTGTGTTTAAAAAACACACATAGGCTTGAGAGAGAGAAGAAAAAGAATATAGGTAATTACACAAAGAAATAAATAGTTTTAAAAAATAACATTTTTAGAGGAGACAATAAAAGTAATACAAAAAAATAAGCCACATAAAGATGGAAAATACACAGAGAGCCTGGATTGTGTATATTATTAGGTTTTCTTTGCAATTTTTTGACTGTTAATAAACTAACTGCAGAGACATTTGATTATAAGGGCTACTAAGTTAAACCAAAATATATTTTAAAGGTATCTTGGGTCTAAGGATATGTTGCTTTGGAAAAGAGGTTCTGCTTTTGTTTCCAGAGAAGATAAGAACTTGTGGATTGCTTCCAGGTTAATATAGTTTGACTGAGGAAGACCCCCCTGAAAGGTTTCCGTTGGGAACAATGGTCCAGGTGATCCAACATCCACAAGAGCTTCAAGGCTACTGGTTGGGATGAATCAACCACACAAAATACCCCAGTCAAGACTTGACCATAATTCTAAATTTTTTCAGGATCCCCATAAGATTACCAGTGCCCCCAACCAGCCCCCAATAGAAAATTATGCCAAAATTCCCAAAATAGTGTTTATTTATGTTTGTCTTCATTTAAGGGGGTTGGTTATAAATGGTTGATGGTTACAGTCAATCTCTTTCTAAAGAAGAAAGGTGGATATGATATATAGGAAAAGGGTAGTTTATTATGGTAATAAAAAAAGGTGGATTATTCAATCTACCTTAATCTAAAAAACAGTTAATCTCAAAATACTTTACATTAGTATGGATTTTAGTTTATTGATACAAATTTAAAGTTAATTTTGTTATACAGTATGTATATTTCTACTCATTTAAGGTATTGTTTTTATAGCTCATTTAAAAACATAATGTAAAATTCTAGTTTTTTAAAGCTATTATTATAAACTATATAGGATAATAAAGAAACATAGGTTAGTAGTCATTTATGACAATCAAATTTGTAGATGTTACGTGTGCTTTCAAGATCATATAGAGATATATTTTAGATAGATCTTCTTACCTATAGAATATGGCATTTAAAATGTTTTGTTAACCTAACATTTTTCATGGCAAGACGCATCTGTGCCTGGCAGCACCAATTACTTCAAGAGGATTATGGGCACTGAAGAAGCTCCTTATGTAGTTTGCTTTCAATGTGGCAAGACGAGTCATTTGGGCAAGAAACTGCTCTTGCCTGGACTGCTTGACAATATGCTATATAAAGTGTACAAGCAGAACCCACAGGAAAATGACTGCTGAACTTGCTAAAATAAGGTGGGACAGTCCTTCAGCGTTCCTGCTTCATGAAAGAGTCTGCCAGATATTCTGCAAACACAGAAAAAAGTGACTGATGAATTTTTGCCAAAATAGGCAAGACAGTCCTTCAAATTCCCTGCTTAACTGAGAAATCTGCCAGATACTCTACGCCTATAGGGTGAAGATGGATGCTCCAACATTACAGAAGAACTTTGAGTGACTGTCCAGGCAGATGTCTGTCATTTCTACAGTTTTGGAAGTTGCCTACAATGCACTTCCTGTTTACTCAGGTAATATTATAGCCTTCCAGGGTCTTTGATGGAGTTGAAGACTAGATAGTTATAATTACTTTTCCTTAGTTATGATAAAAGATAAATTAGATATGAAACTTCAGACTCACAAAGATAGAAGAGATAAGAGTATTTAATTTTGCCAAATATAAACAGACTAAATATTTTAACTGTAATTCTTGCTTGATATCTGTTTTGTTATATGTAATTTTACAATGTTAAAGTAAATACTTTCCTTTTTAATTAGACAGAAAAGGGGAAATGATGTGGAATGTCCTTCTATATGCTGAGAATAGTGTTGCTTTTAATGGTTGATGAATAAAACTGCTTTGGCCTATGGCAGGGCAGAATATAGCTAAACAGGAAAGCCAAACTGAATACATTGAGAAAGAAGGACGAGTCAAGAGAGATGCCACACAGCCACCCAAGAAGCAAGATGCCAGCAGACCGGTCACGCCACAGCCATGTGACAACACACAGATTAATAAAAATGGGTTAATTTACATTGTAACAGGTAGAGAGAGTAATAAGCCTGAGCCATCGGCCAACATTTATAATTAATATAAGCCTCTGGGTGATTATTTTATAAGCGGCTTTGGTACCAGGCGGGACACAGAAATGCCCCCAGCTACAGGTTTTGGCTAGGCTAGCTCATCAGTGGGCTTCCAGCCACAATGGGATCTGAATCCAGGTCCTCCTCAAGAGCAGCAAGCACTAAGCCACCTCTCCAGCCCTTAACTTTGTTAGGTTTTAATCACCTGGGGAAACTGAGTTGTAAAAAAAAAAAAAAAAAAAATCAAGATTTACATAAAACTTTTCAGAAAGTGAAAATTACAAGACTGGCAAGAACTTCCTTCTGGGTTTAGCACCCAGACCGTGGAGGCTTACACCAAAAAGGTTAAGTGGGTCAAAAAGAACAGCCAATATTGTGGTAAGTCATCTGCCATCTTGATTAGATGCCATGAAATCTCCAAAGATAGGGCTCTAGCCAGTGTACATCCCATAGGGAGAATAGTCAATGGAGGTGGACATGTCCCTCCATATGGTTCCAGAGGGAGCTACATGGCAATGATCCATTCTTACAGGAAAAACTAAAGGAGACTGCTGATTTTAAAAATAAAAAAAGATATGTATGTGGATATCTATATGGTCTTAAAATATAACAGGAAAGTATAACCAAAAATATTAAACAATTTTGCCAGCTCCATCATGTATGTCAAATTCCAGAATGTTACTGATTTCACTTGTCCTAGGTTAAACCCTATTTTCCAGGAAACACTCAAAATGAGAACTAAGAGAGACCCACTGAAAGAGTAAACCAATTGAGTACTTATACTCTCTCTTAAAAAGATGCCTCAGATAGGTACCTATGCCAACCAAGGAAAGCCTTTCTTAAACATTCCCCCAATCTCTTTATTGGCTATCAGAAGTGCCATTTTCAAAATTCAACAAAGGGTTTCTGAGACATCATACCCTACACTGGATGTGACTGTTTCTGTCTTTCATCCTTGTTTATTTATAACTGATGTCTTCTAGATTCCAATCCCTAAAACTTCATAATGCTAACTAAATGATGCCAACCCTCCAGAATGCTAACTAAGGGATCCCAAACCTTGACACTATGACCACCATGGCCTCCTACTACCAGGGGCAGTTGATTTATCTAAAGTAATGAATGCTATGCACACTTCCACCTTGAAAACTTAGTGTGACCCCTAAAGTTCTCTCTCATTGTCTCTATTTGGTCCCAAAGCAGCTAAGTTCAATTGTTATCCTATATCACAAAAAAACTGGGTTTCAGTTCTCTGAGAAGAAAATGTTAAGAAAATAAACGTGCATAATTAAATACATTAAACTGTTAAAGGTAAACAAAAGATCTCATAGCTAGTTGTGAACTAACTAGGCAAATTAAAAAGAAAAAGCAGGGCTCTAAAAAATGAAACGTTTACCGTTAACTATTTTCATTACATTTGGCTCTAAACGAATAGATTTAAACATTATATAATGAGGTCACATGAGTGAGTTCAGGTCCAAATGTAATTATACATACAAGGAAGTAAGAAATGAAAGGTTGCTACATTAATTACATTATTGCAACCAGAAATTGCAGATATAAATTTAAAAGATTTTCAAAAAGTCTTACATACAACAGGCCATGTAGGAAACTTATGGGCAGATAGAATTCTGAAGGAAGGTGTTACTTACGGGCACGCTTAAAGCTGACAAAAAAGGAACAAAACCAAAAAATTACCTCAGCAGCTGCAAGGCTGATACATACTCCTCTGAATCCCATACATTCTTTTCTAAACATGTGCAATACAGCTCCCTGATCTATAAATGAAAGATAAGATTTATGAGGAGTAAAAATCACCCACCAAGTTTATAGCCTACTAATTAAGCAAAATCATACATAGCATACAAGTAATTGATGTTACTAATAAAAAAAATTTCACTAAATTACAAGAGGCTTCTTGGCATATATTACATGGATCAGACATTACAAAAACAAAAAAGTCAAATGAAACTGCATTGGGAGTGGCTGACACAAGTCACTTTACATATCATTAAAGTTGAAAAAAATGGCTGACTGAAGGATTAATAGCTAAATTAACACAACCTCACACAGGTCATCCCTCCATTTGATCTCTAAAACTCTGAGTTAAAGATCTAAAAATTAAGTATACTATTCACATGCACTCTACACATGGCTCATAGGTTTGGGGTATAATACAAGTTTAACTGAGCATAATTTTATAAAGAACAGAAGTATTGTGTTTTAATTCTTGGTATAATGCAAGGTTAACCACTAAATACTTTCAAACAGATTCTAGCTCTCAAACTAACTCTCCCTGTGCATGCGATAAACAGAGTAGCCAGGTTATATGCTACAACACAAATATAGAGGAAACAATTCACTGGGATCCACATGGCTATTTCTAGCTATGACTTTCAAAAAAAAAAAAAAAAAAAAAAGAAAAAAAAAAAAACAACAAAAACAACAAATTTCTATTATTAGTAATGTGATCAGCTGGAATAGCCTGTGTTCTGATTATAAGAATTGGCTCCATTTGCCAATATAATCAAATTCTAATGCCTGAGTGATAGAGAAATCAAAACAAGAAAGTACTATTATTCCTACATTGTTGACTCCAAATGGGGAAATCTTAAGTACCTGTCGACCCAGTGGGTACTTGGGAAGAGTAGAGGTAAAATTATGAAGACATCTCAAAACAAGGAAGTAGTTCATATGGTAAACATGCAGGTCTTCTAGTAATAATTGAGTTTCCTCCTTAAAAAAAAATCACAAAATATATTAATAATATGCAAGGCAGTAAATTAAAATTTAAAAATCAATTTATGGATACATATTTTCTAGAAAACATGAGTATTTAGAAGTATAAATTACTTTTCTTAATTCTTGAAAACTTGACATACATCAAGTTTAGAACACAGTTCAGGGATACTGTTTAGTATTAGATCTGGTTATATTTTACACACATCAGAACTGACACTGTAGTTAGCATCTATCCTGTCATCTACTCCACCAGTTACACACTTGTAATAGAACATTTTTATTCTCTGTCTGCCACTATTAACCAACTGGTATGTACTACAAGGGAGTGGCATAATTTTCCTCAGCTTCACCGAAACAGCCTAGTGTTGTAGTTCTGGCCATCAATTCAATTGAGAGCCCCACTGTGATTTTCATCAAAAATTCTCATGGTCCATAAGCAAATATGGTGCAGACCATTCACTGCATGGACTCTAACAGCAATTGTATGACTCTTTCCTAGATGCTCTCATCCAGGGATTATAAACTAATGTAATGTTACTTTTCTGTTAAATCCTAAGGATGATGAGATCAAAATGGTTGGACTCCTTCAATTGTTAAGAAGTATTATAGGCTCTATGTTTCCCGTTGGTAGATGGGGATGTGAGCTCTCTCTGAGCTGCTGCTCCAGCACCAAGCCTTCCTATCTGCTGCCATCTTCCTCATCATGATGCAATGGACGGACTACCATCCCTCTGGAACTTTTGTCCTTAGTCTCCCCTATGCTTTGTCTTTGTTTTCCAACTTCCTGCTCTGCTGAAGACAGACGTCTTAAGGATGCTGCACAACCAAGCAAAAGAGATTGGGTTAAAAAAAAAATGGAATTTTTCATTAAGGAACCTGTTCAAGGTCACACTTAGAGGGTGAAACCAATGAGAGTGTCCTATCCAGTTACTTATATTTCCTTTCTCATGCAAACTGGCATTTGAAGACTTCATTCTAGAAGAGTAAGGGAAAGATAAGTACAATAAACAAGCCTGATTCTTTAAAATCTTGCTTCAAGGCCAAAGGAAAGGTCCAGAAGAAAAAAGGACAAGCATACAGTTGTGCACCCAGGCATACTCATTCAATAACTCCCACAGTTTGTCCTGAGCTCTAGGATGGCTGCTTCTACAGGTGACACCAGATTAAGAAGTTGAAGACTATTACTGAAGACAACATATAATTCAATCATAGGATTAGGAGAAATCAAGCTGGTACTGAGCTGCAACCCTTCTCCCTGAGGGTTAGCTGCCACGGGAGAAAAAGTTATTGAAAGTTCTACCTAGCTGGACAGCCTGCAAACAAACCACTGGCCTGGCAAGATATTCCTAATGCTGCAATATTGGCACTTATAGCTTGTGAATAATGAACTAACTGGACTTAAGGCCCACTCAATAGAAAGGAATTCATGCCTGGTACTACTAACCTAGGCAAGAATCTGTGACTGTAGAGGTAATAGTTCTGATATAAGTAGAGTGATATAACTGGGTCCTAGATCCTAGAAGAGATCCTACATTTCCATTTATAGTTTCTAATTCTTTCTAAATACTTATCCATATTTTCATTCATAAGTGCAGCTCTTAGCCCTCATCAAAGAAGTTTCTTTCTGCCATAAACTAAGATTACTAAAGAGATCTACCAGGTATATATATATACTATAGCTTGTCCACCCTCAAACAGGTCATCTGTAAAACAATCATTATATCACCATGGAAGAGCTTACACAAATGAACTTTCAAAAGTAAGACTGCCTGCACATGATCTGTCTGAGGCCACAGAAGTCAATATGACAATATGAGGGAAAAGTGCTACGGTGATATTTTGTGATGAAATCTGATTTTATTTGTATGTTAATAAAGTTGCCTGGGGATCAGACCTAAAGTAAGCCATTTAGCACAAGTCCTGAGGTGGTGGCACATGTCCTTAATCCGATCACATGGCAAGCAGAATCTCTGTGTGTTCAAGGACACAGCCAAGCGGTGGGTGACCCAAACATTTAATCTCAGTACCAACCCTAGAGACCTGGAGGTCTCTAAATACAGGCAATGATGAGGAAGTCATGTGGTTGGGTTTACAGCCAATGAGAAGGCAGAACAGAAAGGCAATAAACAGACAGGACACAGGAAGAAGGTCTCTCTCAGGGGAAGGACAGCAGCAAGTGGTAAGGTAAGTGGGGCTGAGAATGATTTGAACTATGGTGATCAAGAGGTTTCAGAGGAGAAGAATCTTAATATATTGCGTAGAGATCTTTCTTGTGATATTTTGGTGAAGGAACTGGCTGATTTTTGCCCTTGTCCAAAGAGTCTGCCTAAGGCTAAAGTGAATGAAGAGTTTTGGATTAATTCCACTTGCAGAGGAAATCTCAAAACAGCCCAGTATAGACTCTGTCGTGTGGTTAATAGTGGTAACTCTAATGATGATTTATAATGAAAAGGAGCAAGCTGAGCAGGTTAAATTACAAAATGTAAAATTTAAGGAGAAAACACCAAAAAGTGGGATGGAACCGAATTCTGTGTTCAAGGAGATAAACAGATGAAGAAATGGACTAAAAGGGGTGGTTACCTCAGGGCAAGATCCCTCCCAGCTGTTTCCAACTTGTGAAAAGAAATTACAGAAAAGCTTGCAGCCAGGTGTGGTGGGGCTGGCAGATCTCTGAGTTTGAGACCAGCTTGGTCTACAGAGTAAATTCCAGACAGCCAAGCATAGGCAGTGAAGGACAGAAAGATGGTGAAGATGTAATTAAACAAGGGGGGCCATGTTCCAGCCCCAGTAAGGGGCTGAACTTGGCAGCTTCAGTCACGTGGTTCTGGAGTTAAGAAGAGAAGGAAGGGGTATGGAATTTGCTTCCATAACTAAGGAAAGCCTCTGAGGCCAGGCATGTGTCAGGGGTGTCCCTGAATGGAGGCCTAGAGAGGCCGTAGCATGAAGCTGTAAAGTTGAAGCCTGGATTGCCTTGGAGATCTCAAGATGTTGGATATGCCAGAGCTGTGGGATACCTGTTGAGGAGAGCTGCTAACAGGGAGCAGCAACAGGCCAATAAGAAATATGTTGCAGTCAACAAAGCTGAATGGAGTTGGAAATCTGAAGTGCGTTTTGACATCACACATGGAGATGCAGAGTTTGGAGTTTGCCCAGCTGGTTTTTGGTCTTGTGCTGGTCCAGTATTTCCTTCCTCACTGTGCTCCCTTCCCTATATTTTGGAATGGCAATGCATATCCTGTGCCATTATATGTTGGAAGTATGTGATCTGCTTTTTGATTTTGATTTTATAGGCAATTACCATGAAGAGATTGCATGAATCACAAAAAAGACTTTGAACGTTTTAAATAAGTTTGGGATTATTATAAAATATGGGGACTTCTGAAGTTGGACTGAATCCATTTTTGCATTATAATATGGCTACAAGCCTCTCGGAGCCAGGAATGTGGTGGTCTGAAAGAAAATGGCCCCCAAAGGGAGTGGCACTTTTAGGAGGTGTGGCCTTGTGGAGTAGGTATGGTCTTGTTGGAGGAAGTATGTCACTGTGGAGGTGGGCTTTGAGGTCTCATATACGCTTAAGATACAGTTCAGTGTCTTAGACCATTTTCTGCTGCCTGTAAGATATAGGTAGGATTCTCAGCTACTTTGCCAGTACCATGTCTACCTGCACACTGCCATGTCCCACCATGATGATAATGGACTAAACCTCTGAACTCTAAGCAAGTCATCCCAGTTAAATTTTTTCTTTTATAAGAGTTGCCATGGTGATGTCTCTTCACAGTAATAGAATCCCTAACTAAGACAGCTTTGTCTTAGGGTTCCTATTGCTGTGATAAAACACCGTGAACTGAAGAAAGTTGGGGAGGAAAGGCTTACACTTCCACATCATAGTCCATCACTGAAGGATGTTAAGACAGGAACTCACACAGGACAAAACCTTTTAAGAATCCAAGGAGGGATGCTACTTACTGGCTTGTTCCATATGGATTGTTCAGCCTTCTTTGTTAAAGAATCTAGGACCACCAGCCTAGAGATGGTACACCCCACAATTGGCTGGGCCCTCCCCCACTAATCACTAATTAAGAAAATGCTATACAGGGTTGCCCAAAGCCCAATGTTTGGAAAACATTTTCTTCTAACTTTTATTATTTGTGGATTTCATATCATGTATTCTGATCCTATTCTGATCTCCTTGTCTCCTTGAATCTGCTCTCTACTATTCTTGGATTCCATTATGGAAGGAAGAGAATGATTTCTGAATTATGGTCCTCTAACCTTCACATGTAAACCATGGCACGTGAACACATGAATTCACGTACACATCTTACATTCACAATACATTTTTAAAAATACAATAAATTATTTTATATGTTAAGACTTATTTAGTCTCTGAATATATGATCTATTTTAGAATATTCCATGGGATGCTAAAGGGAATTTGTATTTTGGAGCATCTTGATGGAATGCTAATTATATTACCATTTAATTCAAGTGTTTCTTTGTTTACTTTGATGATCTATTCATTGGCTAAAGTAGGGTACTGAAGTTACACATTGTTATTGCTTTGGAATTAAATTATAATTTTACCTTTAGTAGTAGTTGTTTTATGAAATTGGGTGTTCCCATGCTTGGTACATGTATGTTCAGAATTATAATGTCCTCTCGAAGGATTGTCCCCTTAATATGAAATGACCTTCTTTTGAAAAATATTTAATATTATGTGTAAGGGTGTTTTGCTTGCATGTGTAACTGTGTACATGAGCATAGAAGCCAGAGGCCAGAAGAGGGTGTCAAAGTTGTTAGTTGTCATATGGGTGCTGGGAATCAAACCTGGGTATGCTAGAATAGAAAGTACTCTTAACAGTTAAGCTATTAGTGCATTCCTCAATGAAGTGACCTTCTTATCTATTCTGACTAGTTTTGGTTTAATTTATATCGCCAGATATTAGAGTAACAAATCCAGCTTGTTTCCTAGTTGTATTTGTTTAGAATATATT